TTGGAAGAAAATAACACTTGGGATGTTGTTGATTTGCCTGTTGGTAAGGTTCCTATCACTACTAAAAAAATCAGATTTTAGCGACGGACAAGTTATGTAGCTAAACAAAAAAATCCGTCGCTAATCTCATTTAACGATAGATTGGCAACGGATTATCAAGAAATTTTGCTAGCTACAAGCGTTTTTACGACGGATTAGCGACGCGTAGCTAATTCCAACTTTTTTATAGTGTATAGGGTGCAAATGAGTGTATAAAGTGAAATACAAAGCTAATGTGGAAGTAGAAAAGTTTAAATCAAGGTTAGTGGCCAAAGGTTTCAGTAAGAAAGAGGGCCTGGACGACAAAGAAACATTTTCCCCAGTGGCTAAGATGGTCACTGTTAGATCAGTCATAGCAGTAGCAGCTTTTAAGCATTGCACATTTATCAAATGGATGTGCACAATGCTTTCCTGCAAGGTGACTTATTTGAGAAAGTGTACATGCATCTCCCAGAAGGATACATCATCAAGGGGGAGTCCAAGACCAAAGTATGCAAGCTAAAGAAGTCACTTTATGGTTTGAAGCGAGCCTCCTGACAATGGAACTTAAAATTGACTGAAGCTCTTAGAGATTTGAAATTTGTTCAAAGTCATTTTGATTACACCATGTTTACACAACAAAGGTTTTCAACCTTGGTGGTCATTTTAGTCTATGTAGATGATCTCCTAGTCACAGGTAATGATCCTCAACTAATTCAGTTTGCTAGAGACAATTTACAGAAGAAGTTCAAAATGAAAGATTTGGGGGAACTCAGATTCTTTTTGGGCATAGAGTTTGCTCGCAGCAAGTTTGGAATTTTAATGAATCAGAGGAAATATGCTCTTGAGTTGATTGCTAACTCTGGACTAGGGGGAGCTAAGCCAGTATCTACCCCATTAGAGTGCAATCAAAGGCTAACTACAACAGAATTTGATGAGGCTGTCTTGTGCTCTGATGATGGCACAGGTGCAAAGGTCAAGGACCGTGTGTTGCCTGATCCTGAACCTTATCAAAGATTAGTGGCCAGGCTACTATATCTAACTATGACCAGGCTTGATATAACTTATGTTGTTCGGGTTCTAAGTCAGTTCATGCATAAGCCTAAATGGTCTCATATGGATGCAGCTCTAAGGGTGATTAAATATGTCAAAAATGCACCAGGATTAGGCTTATTAATGTCTTCACGACAGTCTGATAACTTGATAGCCATTTGTGACTTAGACTAGGGCTCTTGTCCTCAGTCCTGGAAGTCTGTTACAGGCTATCTAGTCAAGTTTGGAAACTCTTTGATTTCATGGAAATCTAAGAAGCAAAACACAGTCTCCAGAAGCTCAGCTGAAGTAGAGTTCAGAAGCATGGCTTCCACAGTGGCAGAGGTTTCATGGTTAGTAGTAATTGTTCAAAGAGTTGGGAGTCCACATTCAGCTGCCTATTGCCCTGTATTGTGACAGTAAAGCAGCCATTCAAATAGCTGCAAATCCTATTTTTCATGAGCGGACAAAACATATTGACATTGATTGTCATTTTGTGAGGGAAAAATTGCAGTAGGGTCTCATTTAAAATCACCATATCAACATCAAAGCTCAGTTAGCAGATATACTCACTAAAGTATTAGGCAAGGTCCAGCACTACTCTTGGCTTAACAAGTTGGGGGTTGAAAACCTGTTCTTACCCATCAGCTTGAGGGGGAGTGTTGAGATTAGTAGTGCTAGTGGTGGTTAGTTCCTATAGTTAGTTATAACTAACTTACACTAGAGTAGAGTTAGTGTAACTAGAGTTAGTATTAGAGTTGAGTTAGCAGTAGTTAGTTTTTAATTCGTCTTCTTCTTCTTCTTCTTCTTCTTCTTCTTCTTCTATATATATATATATATATATATATATATGTGTGTGTGTGTATAGTTACACATGTAAGAATAGAATTGATGAATTACATGTGAAGTGATTGGAGAAATGTTTAGCCGCCGAGTAGAGATATAATATTTTGAAAGCGCATTTAATCCATAATACCAACTCTATCTCGAGAAAATGATAAGATGTACAGCCCGCTAGGGTTCATATCGTTAAGACCGGATATTTTGGGGAGAAATTCAAAAATAGCCTGATTTACAAGTGGTCGTTCAAAAATAGCCCAGTTTCAAAAGTAATCGAAATTTAGCCACTTTTCATGTAAAGATAAATCTGAGCGAAAACACTGTTCAAAACCCGGAAAATACGCCAGTATATTATGCTGGAGTTTCCAGCATAAGTATACTTGAACTCCAGCGTATTATACTGGAGTTCCAGGATAAGTATGCTGGAACTCCAGCATAATATGGTGGAGTTCCAGCATAAGTACACTAGAACTCCAGCATAATATACTGGAGTTCCAGCAAAGTATAATGGTCCAGTATAATATGCTGGAAGTTCATACACAAGTGCTCGAATCTCCAGTATATTATGCCGGAACTTTCCGTGTGTTGGAGTTCCAGCATAATATGCTGGAAGTTCATACACAGGTGCACCGAACTCCAGTATATTATGCTAGACCGGTCTCTGTTGCAGCAAAATAGTGGCTGTTTTTTATTGACTTGGTAAACGCTGGCTATTTTTGAATGACTAGTCCGAAAACTGGTAGACCTTGCTATTTTAACGATATTTTTACTTGAATTTGGCCTCAAATATATCTTGCTCGCATGAGCAAATTCGCCGTTTTTTCTTTCAAGCCCATTTCTTACGTAGATAAAAAGGACAATTCATTATAAAGTGAAACAGAACTCTATCTAATTCATGCGGAACAACTTTCTTCTAACAATAAGACAAAGAAGTACGAGAAAAAGAATAGACTCGCAAAAAATCTTTGACTTTGCCTTACCAACTAGGAATTACCAACGTTTACATCCTACATATAAGTTACTAGCTAGGCATGACAATTTGTAACACAAAACATTTTAGTATATGCTAAAATATCGTAATTAGTAGAAAAGTTGTTTTTTGTCCCTCAAATTATAATGATATTGCAATTATTTACGTGGAATGCCCACACGAACAATAAGCAAACATTCTTCTTTAGTCATTGTCATGGAATTAACATGATTGTGTTTGATTTAGTCAATATGTTAATTGTTATATTGGTTGTTTCCAAATTTGAACAATATGGTGTAGTATATGTACCTAGCAATTATCCGAAAAAAGTTCTTTTTATGAACCATTTATTTTAACTTATCAAATTCAAAATATATATAGTTGATGTCAACAAACTGAAAGGTCCCTCTCTAGACCGATTAATCGACTATATACATGAATCTGTTGTTTTCCCAAACAGCGGGTAAAAATGGGCAGTCTGATGTAAAAAGTATTCCATAATACGCAGGTCTGGCGAAGGATCGCACCCCAATGAGCGTGATAATGACATCCTATCTTATTAGTGCAAGTATTATATATTAACTACTATTTCTAGCTACGGTTCAAACTCGTGACGTATGAGTCACACGGAGACAATTTTACCTAAATTGTTAGTACTTCTTATACTATTTTCATTCATCCCAAATCCTGTTGTTTCGATTATTATTTTCTGCATTTTTTAGTTTCACCTCAACGCAGTTCTTTGATGTACAAAACGAGGATCAATAGATTCTTGATTTAAAGCAATGCAAAAAAAGAGATCATGTTTTTAAAAAAAATATAAAGTTAAAAATAAAGTGCTAATATTTTAAAATAACATCCACTACTTTTTCGCCTGAAGCATACCCTATAACATTTACTAATTTGTATAATTCTTTTAAACTATATTTCCAATAAACATAAACTAATAGAAACTTCTACCATATTTTCATTTGGAGTTAAATATACACGGACAATAATATAAAGAATCTTTACAAAATACCAGGATTATAATATGAAAAATGTAAATAATACCTATATTATTTAGTGAATATTTTTATTAATATATGTTTAGTTTATTGGATTGCCAAAGGGATATACGGAATATAAAATAAAACTTGTGTCTGGTTTTACCACATTAATTTGAATAAGCTTTTATTTTCAGTTTCAACATTGACGTTCTTAAAGGACTATGAGAAGGATTCTAGAGAAAGGCATTCTGATTTTAACTAATTCCGAGATTATTTATACCAGACATAAAATCCAACCAATCGCAGGACAAATAATCCCACATCTTATCTTGATATTATTTTACGTAATTTATCTCATGAACCAAACAACTCCCAGATATATTTAACCTATTCGATTTTGATCGACTAAGCCTTTGTCGAGGATGATGAAGCATTAAACACTTTGATCAACTATTAATTACTAATATTATTAAAAAAAAATATACATCATTAATGCTTTTTAACCTATTCTATTGTCTGCTTATTTCTAGGCTATTAATTCCTCTTATTATGAACATTTACCATATTTTCATTTTAGATCTTAGCATTAGCAACTTTATTCGTAGGAGAGAGGAGATAGGGCTGGAGGCTAAGTACCAGTAAATTGCGAAAAAAATATTACACATAAAACTTAAATATTGTCTTTTATTTGTATATTTTTTCAATAAAAAACCTAGATGTTGAATTAAAAATCTGTGACTTAGTACAGATAAACAGATAGATTCAAAGGTGTTATAAATATATAAAACAGAAACAATAATGGAGGCAATTTTATAATAGAGGTCAAATAAGAACAATACTAATTAAACAGACAGACATGGCAAGTTGTAATGTTTCATCGTATTCAGCTAGGAGCGCTAGAGTGCTGGGAGCGGGTTTGGCAGAAGCCAGTAGCTTTGATTCGGACTTTGTATTTAACTTAAAAAGATTCGTTAAATATGTATAAATTATTAATTTAGAACCCAATAACTTAAAACGCTTAGAATCCCGAACCCATAAACTTGAAATCCTAGTTCAGCCGACTCTAAAGAAAAAATGCCCAGCTGTCAGATTCTCTATATATAAGCAAAAGCAAAAGACGCAAAATATATTCATAAGCAAACTTACACAAAACTTTGAACATAGAAAATTAAAACGGATTCTTATTCATATGCTATTTCTTCCTCTTCTAATTCTTATTCCTCTAGTTCTATTCCATATTCCACATATACACAAAAAGTAAAGAAAAACAAACCATTACCTTCATATCATTCCTCACTTCATGGAGTTCGTAGGCTCCCATTAAAACCAATGACCAAACAACCAATCGCGCCATTGCCACCAACACCTCCTAAAATCTACAGAGTAGAACCTATTAATTTCAAGGAAGTCGTCCAAATGCTGACTGCTGCACCTGAGTTTCAATCCAACTCTAGTAATTCTAGCTCTGTTTCTGGTTTCAGTTGTGGCTCTGGCTCTGGCTCTAGTTCTAGTTCCAGCTCGAGGCGTTTACAAGATGTGGCTCCTCCTCCACTTGATCTCTCACCAGTTTCATTATCAAGAAATAGCATTGCTGAACAATGGCGAGAGTTCCTTCGTCCTTCTTCCTCTTCAAACAACCAAGTTGAATCATTTAGCACGACATGTAATAACTTAACAAATGAAGCACAAGAAAGATCACATGTAACGCCCCGAATTCCATCAGAGAATTATTTTGGATCATGCAGTCCTTTGGCTAATTTCGCTTTATCGCCTGCTTCTTTTGCATGGAGCTCTTCTCTTCTTCTCAGCCCTAGCACACTTACTTCACCATGCGCCGTTCTTTAACTCATTTGCCATTGCTTCTTCTACTCATTCGAGAGTTTGTAACTTATTATTGCCTGTTGTTTATTAGTGCTAATATTTACTTGTGGGTGATCAAGAATTTGAATTTAAATGTCTAGAAAGAGATCACAATTCAAATATTTGAAGCTGCTTTTGTACACTTTTTTTTTTTTTTTTTTTTTTTTTTGCTTTTATTTCGATTGTATGCTATGTTGCTCGGACTCTCCGAAAATATCGTGGGGTGCATGTCGGATTCTCCAAAAGCAGTGTATTTTTGGAGAATCCGACACGAGTGCGGCAGTATTTTGGAAAGTTTGCGCAATATAGATTGTATTTCTAGAAGTTAAAAGAAGAGATTTGTTTTACTTATGCGTATACTTGTTCACTGGATTGAGGATAATTTTTCTTCTCAACAATCTCTCCCTCTCTTTTTTCTGTTTATAGGTTTTGTAGAATAGAGATATATTAGAGGAAGAGTATACGTATTGAAAAAGAAATATCGATATCATTTAGACATTTACAATGATATTAGATAACAAAACAAAAAATAAGAAGAAGCAATATTGCGAAACAAATTAATAACGAAACAGGAAAGTACAACTAAAAGCCAGGGAGTAGCGACGGACAAATTCTGTAGCTAAACAGTAAAATTCGTTGCTAATCCTACTTAGCTACGGATTAGCGATAGATTATCAAATAACTTTGTTAGCTACGAGTAATTTAACGATAAATTAGCGACGAAGTTCGTAGTTAATTACCGTTCGTATATATACAACCATTTGCCTAAAGTCAGTTAGTTTGCAATTGTAAATGAATGTATCTCACTCGCTATGATCAGAATAACTACAAATGCCAAAGTTACAATTTGAAAATTATCAAGGGAATAGGTTTTATGAGAATAGTTAAAGGAATAAATAGAATTAAAAGAGTATGTAAAGTTTTATGATCAAAGCTAATATACATGACAAAGTTGCATCGTCTTTCACCAAGTTAATATCTTCTAGTTCTTTCTATTTGATAGAACCAATTATTATAGCCATGTACAAGTTGAAGATAGCGCTAAAAGCACTTGGATTATGGAAATTACATATGTAGCAATGAGTAAAGAAAAGAGGCCTTGAATTATATGAAAATTTGTACAAACTTTCCATAATATTTCAAAAGATCACAAGGATTTTCGAAACTTAGTAAACGATAACGGCGTTTACAAGTATTAAGTCTAAACGTTCTAAAACATCGTCTCACGTGGGTTAGCTAGAAATGGATGTTTGGGGACCAGACAAAGGCAGAGCCAGAATTTTAACTATATGAGGTCTATATTATAGAACGACTAATTTAAGTGCTAATAACTAGGTTCCAAATTTAAAGTACTGTATATATTTAATTAATTTTTGAACGCAATACATTGTTTGCACGGAAATCGCATTTGTCAATTACGATTTCCAAGTCTTTAGTCAATTGCGATTTATAAGTCATATTTGCAAATTGCTAAATGTGACTTTGCAATCGGCAAATACGACTTATAATCGCAATCCGTAATTGCGACTTATAAATGGTAAATTGCGATTTATAAAGGACTATAAATTGCAATCGACAACTGTGACGTATAAATTACTTATTTTTTACAAAGTATTTTCTGTTATCTAACCAAACACTAGAAAATAAATAAGAAAATCACTTATTTTTTAGGAAAATATTTTCCACCCAAAGACATCCATAGTCTAAAAATTGGCTTGAATACATCCTACGTGACGTCCTATATGTATATTCTGAAAAATTATTTGACTGCAAAACCATGGTTTGAGAAAGTCCTAAGGTTAGAAAGATTATTGTAATATTTTAATTCACCTTGTGAAGGTAATAGGGATGGTCCAAGAAAAAAAGTATTAGCTAGGATTCCTTTTCCAATTAAAAACTGTGACTCAATCATTGACACTCTCAATTCTTTTTGTAAGTTATTTTATCAGACAATAATGAACCTTGAAAAGTCTAGGATTTACTCAAAGAAGTATAAATACAAAAGAAAATGTCAAGACTTCTATCTCTACTGTAACAGTCATTTCAAATCATGTAATAATGCAAATACATGCCTTACCTAAAGTCACTATGAGCAGGAGCGGGCCTAACTTATGCAATACGTGCAATTTATGTGAATCAAACAATTTTTTCCAAATTTTGTATATGTATTGAAAAATTATTAAATATTTATAAATATTTGCATGTCCCATCGAACTTTTGATCTTAAGGGTTCCAGATAAAGTATATTACTATTGTCACGACCCGAATTTTTCACCGTCGGGACCGTGATGGCGCCTAACCTTTCTGTTGCTAGGCAAGCCAACAATTAGAGACTAATACGCTAACTCTTAAACAATTCAGTAAATAACAACAATTATACCATAACAGATTAAAGGAGTGCAGAACTTTATAATAACTCAATTAATTATACACAACTACCCAGAATCTGGTGTCACAATTCACGAACTTCTAAGAGTCACTACAAATACTGGGTGAAAGAAAGTACAACTGTTTTCGAGTAAAAAGAAACAGTAAACTGAAATAACTGGAAGGGGACTCCAGGGTCTGCGAACGCCGGCAGATCTACCTTGGGTCTCCTGTGGGATTGAAGTCAGCAGCTCAACTCGGGTCAACACGGTCCAGTACCAAAATCTACACAGAAAGTGCAGAGTGCAGTATCAGTACAACCGACCCCATGTACTGGTAAGTGTCGAGTCTAACCTCGGCGAAGTAGTGACGAGGCTAGGACAAGACATTCCCAAACAAACCTATGCAGTTTATCAACATATACGCTAATAACGACAACTAAAAAAACAAGGCAAGAAGTATTGGGAAGGAGGCATGCTGAGGGGATTACAAGACAAAGAATTACAGCGGAACTGAGAACATGAACAATCAATATACCTTAAACATATAGAAACAGAAAAACACAGTAAAATAAAGTGCATGGCATCACCCTTCGTGCTTTTACTCTCAACCTCACCAGATAAGATAATAGAAACGTGCACGGCATCACCCTTCGTGCTTTTACACTCAACTTCACCAGATAAAATAATAGAACGTGCACGGCATCACCCTTCGTGCTTTTACACTCAACCTCACCATAACAAATAATAGAAATGTGCACGGTATCACCCTTCGTGCTTTATCACTCACTCACAAAGCATTGCACGGCATCACCTTTCGTGCTTTAACACTCTTACTCACCAAAACAATGAACAATAACAACGGGGAGATAGGAATATCAAGAACAAATCTTACTTTAACACTTAGCTCCACAATACCAACCTCAACTTTGAGTCAATAATACTCAATCAAAACCAAATTCAGTAAAACATAATAAGAAATTGCTAAACACAGCAAATAGCTAGTCTAAGCATGAACAATGTGATCAAAGAATACAACCTTTACAAGAATAAGACTCACTCACATGCTATGACTCGACAACAACGCATAGGTACTTGTCACCTCAGCTATACGTTGTACTCAACATCCAACACGTAGCAAATAGGCAAATAATACCTAATCCCTCAAGCCAGGGTTAAGCACCACACTTACCTCGCTCCAACGGCCAAACTCAAAGCTCAATCACCGTTTTTCCCTTCATACAAGCCTCCGGACCAATAGAATGTAGCAAATTACCAACCAAATAATTTAATTTAAGCCTTAGCAACTACTCACGATTGCAAGTAATTCAATTTAGGCCATTTTTGAAAAAGTCAACATCCGGGGCCGCTTGGTCCAAACCCAAAATTCGGACGAAAACCCGATTATCCATTCACCCTCGAGCCCGGATATATAATTTGTTTTGGAATCCGACCTCAATTTGAGGTCTAAATCCCCAAATTTTGAAATTCCTAGTTTCTACCCAAAAATCCCCAATTCCACCATGAAAACCTTAGATTCTAGGTTGAAATCTTGCAAAATGAAGTGAAAGATTGAAATTAACTAGTTTAGAATCACTTACCTATGATTTGGGGAAGAAATAGTCTTTGCAAAATCGCCTCTTGTGTTTTAGGTTTTGAAAAATTGAAGAATGAATGAAAAATACCGTCTAAGTCCCTTTTACACAGCTGCAGATGTCGCATTTGTGACCTGAGCTTCGCAAATGCGAGGTCCTTCACACCTCTGCTGCTTTCGCAATTGCGAAGATAAGTTTGCAATTGCGAACTTGAATCTCCGCAAATGCGACTAAAAGATCGCATTTGCGATCACTGCCACTCCCAACTTTACTTCGCAATTGCGAGGACTGCCTGGCCCAGCTACTCTTCGCATTTGCGATGAGAAGCTCGCAAATGCGGAACCTACAAAGTTCACAATTGCGATGCCTGATCTCGCAAATGCGAGATCAGAGGCTTGCAACAAGATCAGTTATACCAGCAAATTTTTCCAAGTTCAAACCACTCCGTAGCCTATCCGAAACTCACCCGAACCCTCGGGGCTCCAAACCAAACTGCACACAAGTCTTAAAACATCATACGAACTTGCTCGCATGATCAAATCTCCAAAATAACACCTAGAACTATGAATTTAGCACCAAATCAAATGAAATTCTCAAGAACACATTGAAATACCTATTTTCTCAACCGGACGACCGAATCACGTCAAACCAACTCCGTTTCTCACCAAATTTCACAGACATGACTTAAATATTATATTGAACCTCTACCGGGCTCCGGAATCAAAATACAGACCTGATACCAACATGATAAAACATTGACAATTTCTTAAAAACCATTAAATTTTCAAACATACAATTTTTAACCAAAATTCATAACTCGGGCTAGGGACCTCCGAATCCGATTCCGGGCATACGCCAAGGTCGCATTTTTGGATACGGACACACCAAGACTGTCAAAATACGAGTCCGGGTCCATTTACTCAAAACATTGACCGAAGTCAACTAAATCAACTTTTAAAGGCAAAAGTTGTTATTTTCATCAACTTTCAACATAAAAGCTTTTCGGAAATACGCTCGAACTGCGCACGCAAATCGAGTAGGGATAAATGAGGTTTTAAAGGCCTTGAAACACAGAATTTGGTTTTTAAATCATAAGATGACCTATCGGGTCATCACATTCTCCACCTCTAAAACAATCGATCGTCCTCGAACGGACTTAGAAAAGTACTTGGG